TTTACTGATTTCTCCCAGTAATCCTGGAATCACCACTGAGTCTCATCCTTGGAATGTGTTGACATTCAGAAAGTTGAAATGTCAATCATGCCAAAAAAATAAAGCACTGGTGGAGAAGGCAGGATTTAAACCACAGTGGCATGTGAAGGCCTGGCTTCTTGTACAGTGGTTCTTGTTGATCATAAAACTTGGCTTAACTTTTAGCCTCCAGAATTGATTCATGGAAAAGGTGCTCAGAGTGCATAATAGAGCCAGTGTTATGCGGCACGCTGGTGCCTCCCCACTTTCTGGCCACGCAGTGAGTTCCCTTGCCAGCTGCCAAGGCTCCCAGCTCTGTCCTCCGGGGCGATGCTGCTGTGGAAGAGAGTCGGAGGCTTCCCCATCAGAGATTCCAAGACCCAGGCGGGCAGGAATAAGGTATAGGGACTCATTTGTGAAATGGGGGGCCCCCTCCTAGCCATGGAATTTCCACACAACCTTTGGGGGCTACTTATCAAAATTGTCCTTGGGAATTCTATGGGCCACAAGGCAAAACCTAAATCTTTGTGTTTTAGACATAGAAAGTGTACCAAATGCATCAGGTTTCTAACAATTCACAGCCCGTTATATCCTCTTGGGCGTCAACTGCTCTGATTTATCTCATCGTTTGCATCTCTTTTTGGCCAACTCTCAAAGACCCGAGTCTAATGGAAGCTAAGCTCTAGGTTAGGAATTCAGGGAGAGTCTCAGGGCCTCATGAGCAAGAATTTAGGGTCCCTTTCCCAAGCGTGCTGTTACATGATTATTCTGAGCTCTCACTGTTTGCTCTTTTCCATGCTTCTGTCAAGGACTTTCCCATCATTTGCATCTTCTCTGTTTCCTCTTTACTGTGACTTAAACATGGCCATGGCTCATAACCTATTTAAGTTTCATTAAAACCAAAAAATTACTTCTGGGTTTCTTAGTTCACATACTTTAAAGTGAAAATTTGTTTTATCCAGCTGCCTTTTTTTCAGGTTGGGAAGGACGTAAGTTAAAAATATGTAACAAGTAGTCCATGTAATGAATGGTTGGTGTGTCCAAGGAGCAGTCATGAACAAAACCATGGCTGTCACACTTCTGGACTGGATTGTGGATGGAGTGACACTGTGATATATATTCTGTATTTGTCCTTACTGCCGTCAGATCAGACTGTGGAACTTTCTAGAGCAGACATCTTGAATTGTCACACAAATATATCATTTTAGCTTATGGCTGAATAACTCCTTCCTTGGAGGGAGGAACATATTCAATTTTCATTTGGCTAGAAAGTCCGTGTGTGTGTGCGTGTGTGTGTGTGTGCACGCACGTGTGTGTAAACTTAGAGGTAGGGACTCTGTGTCTTAAGATATGTTTAAGTAGGTTGTCTTGGTTACTGTTCTCTCATTGCTAAGACAAAATGCCTGACACCCAGAATTAAGGAAGGAAAGGTGTATTTAGCTCACAGCTTGTGGAGGTTTCAGCCCATAATCAGCTGGCGCCAAGGCAGGGTGGCACATGGCAGAGCGACAGTAGTTGGTGATGACAGAAGCAGAAGCAGCAAGAGGAAATGGGGGGCGGCAGCTTCTTTTCCTCACTTACACTGTAAGCAGACTTCCACCCGCTAGCCCAGGGGCAGCACTCACGCCACCTCCGGGTCCTCCTCTCGCACAGGCTCAGGGTGTTTACAAAGTGAAGACCATGGCCCCCGCTGAGTCACGCAGCTAAACTTCTAAACTTCTCAGTTGACGCAGTGTCCCAGCTTTAACATAGGTGATCTCTAAGGAGTCTTTTTGGGGCTCCTGAAAGATTGCTCTGGGAGGAGACCTCAGATGGTGGAACAGAAGTAGACTTTTTCTGACTTTCAATGAGAAAAACCAGAACAATCAAAGAGAAATTGTATCCTATGGAAAAAACATGAGGAGAACTCTGAGAACCAAGAACAGAGTGGCTGGAAGCTTGGACAGCGTGGAGAATCGGAAGGAAAGCACAAGGGAGGCTGCCCAGCACCTGTGAACTTCACCCTTGGCTCCCTGGCTGGGGGCAGGGTGCCCACTGCCACAAGCATAAGGTGAGGGTGAGAGAAAACTACCCCAGCCATTAACAGCCAAGGGGCAGTCCCACCTGCAGGAGACAACTACGGTCTACTCAAGCCTTTAATCTGATTTGGGGATTAGATTGCATGACTGTCTCCACAGTGAGCTAACATTATAGAAAAGTTCCGCGACCTCACTCCATCTCTGCTGCTGGGCAAAACCCAGAACTGGTGACCTCATAGGTCCTCTGCACAGCCAGCTGTTTGCCTCTGGCTCAAACTACCCAATTTGGGGCGTTAGTCTATGACTAATAACTCCTTCCTTTGTTGTTTCTGAATAATGAAAGTCTTCAATCTGATTGAGTACTTCTGTGGTCTTGTCACTGGGCACGCAGCACCCAAGAAGACGTTTGTGTGCTCAGGTGAGAAGGGCAAGAGAAGGGCAGAGACTCTTTCTATCCAATTCATGTGGATGATTCATCTGCTTTACTGGAGGATCTCTGAGACCAGACTTGCCTGCAAGTTGCAGTGGAATGTGTTTGACAGGGCTTTCAACTCTTGAGAGAAGTCAGGTTTTTGTTGATTTAGAGCTGATTGTGGGTTTCATACCCTTCATACCTCCGCTCTCTTTCTCTATGCCAGCAGTTGTTTCTGGCAGTTAAAAGGCTCACAAGGGGGGGGGGGGGAGAGAGAGAGAGAGAGAGAGAGAGAGAGAGAGAGAGAGAGCGCAAGGGGTCAGGGACAATGCATCTTCGTCAAGGTCTGTGTCCCGTGACCCACTCCCTTCAACTGTCATCTCTCCCTACTTCCTCTTCCCATCATGTCAATAATGACATTGAGTTGCGGTCTCATCAGTGGGGTGGCCCACCCATCTCTAAAAGCCCACCAACAACCGCACCTTCAACACACATCTTCAGGGGGGTAAGCTGGATGCAGCCATAACACACCCATTCTCTATACCAGAAGAATGCAAAACTGAAAGCAAGTATTTTGAGTCTTGTGTTAGCGCTATGGCGCTGTTTTATGAAAGCTCTGTCCCTGCATCTTGGTGCTCATGGGCAGGGCTGCTGTAATGTGTGTAGCTAGGTCAGTGAGATAGTGAGGTTCTGGTCATGTGTATCTTTGATTTTAGAAGGATATTCTTGTACACATGATGCTATAATCCTTTTTAATTTTTGGTAATCTAGCAAGCATAGTATGGGCTTAAATGTGTTGCCTGATTACTAATAGATATTGGTTTGGCAGTGATTTGAATAGTCTATCCCATGGTCAGTCTGGTTTACCATTCTAATCTCTTTCATGTTTAGCTTAATGATGCCCATGGAATGTTTTATTAGCACCGGTCCAGTGTTTATTTCTGAGTCTGGTAGCTTCAGAATGTGTCACAGGTCATTTTATTATTTTTTAAGGCTATTTTATTAAACTCTTGTTTTCATCTGGAGAAGAAGGAAGATTAAGTGTCTATAAAGTCATGGTGGGGTTGAGGGATTCAAGGGGCACAAACAGTATATTTCATGAAAACGACACCCTTTGGCTCCCTTTGGCCATATGAAATGCAAATAAATGTCCTCTTGTTCCCCTGTGAAACACTCAGGTTTATTTCTGGGTGCAAAGAATTGAGTAACTCTTCATCCTGAGTTCATTGCTTTTTACTATCATTGATTTCAAGCTGTTTTCGTTTTGTCAATAGCTGTGAAGTTGTGGCAGAGGTTTAGGGTTGACATCAGAAAGTGAGGGAAAGAAAACTAGTGAGTAACCTACACTGAACACTGACTTGTGCAAGATTTCTTAGTCATCGTAAGTTCTACAGTGTTCTTTCTTGAACTAGGATTTGTCATTCTTGTGTTAGATCTGAGAAGTTAAGCTACTTTCCCAGTCTCACACTGAACTGGTGGCAAAAGTCAAGATTCAAGCCCGACTCTGTGCATTTCTACCGCTGCATACTTGGAGTGCTCTGAAACATGTCAAAAGTGTTTCTTTAATTGCCAACGTGGGGATTTCACATTTAAGCTGCCATAAACTCAGATGAGCCCAGGCATGCGACATGAAAGTCCTCTCAGAAGCAATTACTGAGAGCTCATCTGGTGCAGGCTCTGGACTCAGGATGAAGGAGGCAAGCGTTTTGTTTTCAAGTTTTGTAGCCTGAGACAGGAGCTCCAGTTGCTTTTTTTTCTTATCCAGTCTTGAGAGGAACTAAACAAATTCAGCTGTCTGTCTGCATCTGTCCTTGCTCATTAATGTCACTGTCCTGTCACAGAGCAGGATGCTTGGTAAGTGACAACTGTTCATAAGGTAGGCAGTAAGGCGAAGAGAAGAAATGCACCGTGTCCTCCAGAAACTGGAGGTGACCCTAAAAAAGACCTCCACAAAGTACAGTATTTACAACAGCGGATCAGGAACTTCAAAGCCATGAGCTATCAAGTGGAAGGCAGTTGGAGATTTGTTATTCTTGCCTGAGTTAGAGGGAAGCCGCTGTAGGGAGGAAGAACTCCAGTGGTGAAGAGGAACCCCCATTTCTAAAACATCCTCTTCCTTCAACCAATTAATTTTGTTTTATACAATACATCTTGATCATGGAAATGATCAGTCACTCACATATTAAAATGAAAATAAAAAGAAAGCCCTTTAGTACCATCACAGGGATCTCCAGAGATATGATCTTGGGCCAGAGAACTCAGTAACGTTGGTGGGAGTGAAGACAAGGGGGAACGGTTGTTGCAGTTTGGGGTGGGATGAAACAGATCAAGCCCTCAGATCTTGTCGAATGCCAGGAACAAGCTGGAAATGGGAGAGGATGATCAGAAGGAAGAGCCATGGAGTGTCTGGGCACCAGCCTCCTGCCTGCTTCGCTGCTGCTCGGGCTGGTGACACTTTCTGGCCTTTTCCCTGTTCATCAATTCCAAAGCATATGGCGCTGGTGTCTATTAGGGTGCATGGGGGTGAACAAAATTGCTGGAGGTAAGCGGACTTATCCCTCAGGCCTGCATGTCCTGGACACCTGGAATCCACCAGTGACCTTCTTGAAGGCAGCCTTCACGTCCTGGTTTCTCAGGCTGTAGATGAGAGGGTTCAGCATGGGAATGATCACGGTGTAGAAGACGGACACCACCTTGTCTTCCTCTGGGGACTGGCCTGAGCCGCTCCACATGTACATGAAGATGAGGGTCCCGAAGAAAAGGGCCACGGCGGTGAGGTGGGAGGCACATGTGCAGAAGGTCTTGGCCCTGCCTCCTGGAGACTTCACCTTCAAAATGGCCTTGATGATGAGCAGGTAGGAGACCAGGATGACCACGGCATTGGCCACAATCACAATGTTGCCAAAGACAACGATGGTGATCTCGGCGTTTGTTGTGTCACTGCAAGCGAGCTTCAGCAGGGGTGGGAGGTCACAGAAAAAGAAGTTGATCTGATTGTCCTCACAGAAGGAGAGGGAGAAGGTACATGCGGTACGCAGGATAGATCCCGACACCCCACAGGCATAGGCTCCCAGCACCAGACTCCAGCAGACTCTGGGCTTCATGGCCACAGTGTAGAGCAGTGGGTTGCTAATAGCTACGTAGCGGTCATAGGCCATCACGGCCAGCAGGAAGCACTCTGAACCTGCACAAATGGTGAAGAAGAAGAACTGGGCAGCACACTGGGTATAGGAAATGACTGTGTTGCTTGTGGCCAGTGTGGCCAGGATCTGGGGGCTGATGACCGAAGCATAGCAGACATCCAGCAGGGCAAGGTGGCTCAGGAAGAAGTACATTGGGGTATGGAGCTGGACATCCACTTGGATGAGAAGAACCATCCCCATGTTTCCCAGAAGGGTGGTGAGATAGAAAATGAGAAACAACAGCAGGAGGGGAATCTTCAGGTCTGGGTGAGCAGTAAAGCCCACCAGTACAAACTCGGTCACCGAGCTGAGATTATTCTGAGCCATGTACTCATAGTGCACTGCTGCTCTGAGGGCGAAAATAAAGTCCACCAAAAATCACAGACATGAAGAGGGGACCTTTCCGTGGTGGTAGACGTTAGGATGAAAATGCTAGACCTATTTACAGATGTTGTTTTTCAGATATACTGAAATTGGCTGATTCTCCTTAGGCATCTCCTGTATGGTATAGGGCTGAGCCTGGAGCCATTGCTCCAGATGCAGGTTAATCCTGGTTTACACTGGAAGCCACTGCAAGGAGAAGAACATGTGATTGTCAGGGATGGAGGGACCAAGGCAGCACCCATGGCATCCTGCCGGGGTTGGAGTTTCCTTACCGCACACCGCCACCTGGTGCTCTGGTGGCTACACGGCCTCCCCCTGGGGACAGCTCCTTGGGCAAATCTCTCTGGAGCTGGATTCTGTCTCTGCACTTACCCTGCTTGACCTTGATTTTGTCCCTTCCAGATGCAATGATTTCACCCCACCTTCTCCCAAAAGCCTTTCAGAGGTTGGAAGATGGTGACTCTGTTCTGGGCCTTGACCGCTCCCTCACAGTATATGTGGATAGAGATTTCTTCCTGCTAAATGATTTTCAGGCAGGTGGTCAGCATTAATCAATAATGAAAAGTGTTTCTCTCCACTTTGTTATCACCCCCAGCTTGGAGACTCATCTTCAGCATAACATATTTAAAAGTTGGTCCTTTCATGTAGCACCATGGTTTTGAAATAAAAGGTAGAATCTTGCTATGTGGTCCAGGCAGCTTTGAACTCATTGTGGAGCTTGGTCTGGTTTTGAAATCATGATCCTCTTGACTCATCCTCCTGGCTGCTGGGTTTACAGTGGTTGTATCCTGACATTGGGCTGATAACATTGTACTTAGGAATAATATGTTCAAACTCAAGGTCTTGCTGCTCTTTACGTGGATTTGGGCAAATTGCCTAGTCCTTTGTGCCTCAATTTGTTGTCCATTACACAGGAAAAGTATTGCAGTTAAGTTTAATACTTTGAGTATTAAACATGTTAAAACTTGTAAGGGGAATAAGACAGCACCCAGCACAGAAAGAGTTTTTAGCTATTATTATTTTACTATGATTATCGTCATTTCTAGGTAGCATCTACTGAGTTTTTGTTCTGAAAGATCACGCATTTCACTCACATAAACTTTGCGATATTGCTTCTGTACCTCTTTAATATATTTGCTTGTCTCTAACTCTATGTATCTATTCATATATCTTTGTTTAGTAATTGAGCAAATTTGTGCTCTCACTAATGTAGATGAATAAATAAACTTTTATACTTTTTTCTTTCTACAAATTTTAAAAAGGCACTTCAATCTTGTACCTATGTTGCAACGTGTGCTATTCTAGTCGTGCCTTCTGTATTCTGTCTATGGATTAATTGTGGAGTAGTAAGTGGTATTTCTCTGTTGCGATTGCATGCACGCAGTACAGTAAAAGATGACACAGTATAATTGGATATACAGAGGAAGAAATGTCACTCCATTTCTATTGCTTGTAGGAGATGCATTCAAACATCGTGTGGAAGAGACGCTCTTTTCTAGTTCTTTACCAACTGCTCAGGATAATTATACCTAGTGTGCGTTATGTTTGAGTCATGGTAACTTTCCATTTCCTAAGACTTCTTGTTCCCATCTGGCACAGATCTGAGTCACACCACAGCACTGTGCGCTTGCAGCTCATCATTTTCCAAGTCTACTTGAATTCCCATTACAGGCCGAAGGGCCAAGAGATCCTATGAAGCTTCTGCTTTCTTTAGTGCAGGGTCTCACTACACAGCTTGGACTTGTAGTGATCCTGCTCTTTTCAGCCTCCCTAGTGCTGGGATTGCAGGCTTGTGCCACCATGCCTGAACTCCATTGCCGGCTCAGCGCGCCAGGGGGCAGGGCTGGCGTGGCATGTGGTGCCAGGGATCAAACCCTGGCCTCTTGCCTAAGCGAGTACAATAGTTTCCTTTAAAAAAAAAATCTCTCTCCTGTTCCAAACTTTCCACTCACAACATCTTATACATTCTGAGCAACAATCCCACCATGCAGCAGGCATCTCCCCTGTTCTGGATTTACATTTGGAAATTGCTATGTCATGTGATTCTAGAACCTTCTTCATACAATATCTTATACATTTTGAGTAATAATGCCACTGCAAGGAAGCCATCTCCTCTGTTCTAGAATCTTCTACTCACAATATCTTATAGGTTCTGAGCAAAAATCCCAGTGGAGAAAATTTTCATCTTGTGGATGAGACAATATTCACACTGTTATGAGTGTGTATACTTTAGCAACTAGTTACTGAAACAAGCAAAATTATATGTTGGAATCACTTGGGGAGAAACAAGGGCCCACATCATCTAAGATTCTTGAATCCAATATCCAACACTGCTCCCCTTGAAACTTCTGCTTGACACCCTATTACCACATCTCCAATTTGCTCAGGTTAGAATTTTCTAAAAAAATTTCTTGGATCTATAGCCAGGTCCAAGAATATAGAATTATATCATAACACTACTTTCCATTGGCACAGCTAGGATTTTACTTGTTGGGCAACACAGGATTGCCATTTTGGTGCAATCTGTTGCAGTATAAACTGCTCACTTCTTATAATATATCTATATCTATATCTATATCTATATCTATATCTATATCTATATCTATATCTATATCTATATCTATCATATAAATTGTGCGTTGTGAGAGACAAAAGAATTGCAGTGATGATAGAGTCCAGTGCTACTATTTTTCAGAGCAGGAAGTGAAAGTCTCTTCCTACCCGGGTCTAGACAGATCTTGCACTTATGATGAGGCCTGGGCATCTCTCAGACATGGCAGCCATATTGGCTCCACACAGGTTTGTGGAAGGGCAGTGGAGGCTGCTCTTGAGTCCAGAGCTTCTTCCACCTCTAGACAGGGGTGACTAGAGGGAGCAACATACTGGCATCACATACCACATGTCCTTCTTGGGCTGTCCAACCCCTCCACTGCTGGCCCTCTCAGTATTGGTCCAGCTTCATGGTGTCCATCTCTACCACAGGCACTGACTCGCTAGGAGCAACCTGAAGTTTACTTCCTCTCCTTGGGCATCACTTCCTGTTCTGGAAAACAGTGGGAATGGACGGCATCATCTTGGGATTTTTTGGTCTCTCACAACCTGCGATTTAAATGTCAGTGTATAAGGGCTAGAGGAGGATGTTGAAGGATTTCTCCTATATTCACACTATTCTGAATGTGCACTCTTTAGCTGCTAATTATGGAGTACATGAGGCATTCAGGGTCTGACTCAAGTGACTGACAGTTACTTAAACATATCACCAAGGGATTTCAGGTCCAAAATTAGATGAATCATACTCTCCACGTCCTGATAACAGCCATCATGTCCCAAGTGAGGCTTTCACCTTGTGTTATTCTCTTACCAAGTCCTTATGAGTGCCCACGCTAGGTGACTCAAAATATGCATCTTCCTGTGTTCTTTTCATAAATACTTAGAAATATATACTTTAGAAATGTATGTTAAGCATGTATTTCGATAAACTCCCATTTTCTTTTCTTACTTCTGCTATTTTTGTGATTTGTCTCTGTGCTGTAGGCTGATCTATTTTGTGGTTTTGTGACTTGTGGTTTTGTTGCAGCCTTTCTTTTGCTACAGCACATTGTTCTTATCACTCTACTAAAGATCTTGAATGCTTTATACTTACTATCTTATTTCATCCTGGAAATTTCCCTTCAAGAAGTTGTTATCTATTTTTAACAAAGAGGACTTTAAGTCACTGAGAGATTAATTTGTATAAGATTATCTGTGGAGGTGGAAGAGTTGGCTGATGGTACGCTCTGTTCTTTGCTATGAATTTGTTTTGTCTCTTTATATTATACTGCATCTTTATGCTTTATGGAAGCAAAAATAATCTTCTAGAAGTTAATCAGAACTTTTCAACTTTCAAACCAAACTTGACTAATTCTAACACTTTTCTCAGCATCTAATGCTGAAATTGCCAAAGTCCATTTCCTGTCTATCTCATGGATATTTCCTGCGGTTCAGAGCACCTCCCTAAAGATTAGATGGCAGATTGTTGGGTGCAGATGCAGACACACTGGGTTTGTGCCATGCTCACCCCAGCCCTTCTCACTTCAGCTCTGACCTTGGCTGCTGTCTTGCAAGGTGGGACAGACACACCCACTTTATGGATAAACACAGGGAAACACAGAGGGGTTAGGCGCTTTGTCCAACTTGCTGCACACATAGCAAGGAACAGAATCAACATTCAAACCCCCAAATCCCTAACCTGAAATCCTATATTCTCTCTAGCATGTCATGTTGCCCTTGTAGGAGAAAAGAATTACAGTAGCACCTTGGTTCATGAACTTAATTTGTTTCACAGTTATGAAGAAAGTGGTCATGTTAGGGTTGTGAGCAAGATGATCTTGCTGTGTTCATCACCAGATGTGGAGTTTACAAAGGAAGGAAAATTTTGCTGAATGCTTCTGATCACAAACCAAATTGTTCATGAACAGAAGCATTCATGAACTGAAGTATTACTGTACTCTTTCTGCAGATCCAAGCCCAAACTTTAAAAATCAAAAACAGCTCTCTAACATCATTGGGTTATATTTACCTTTTGCAGGAGAAGAGGATTAAGATGGATTTTGTGTGGTTTTTGATTTTTGTTCACAGTCCGAGGTCTTTCTTCTACTCCTTTCTTTATAGGATAAGAGAAACTTAGTTGTAACCCCTTTGCTATGTCTCTGGGAAAACTGTTCACCAGTCAGAACCTCAATTTATCCAAGTATAAAATGAGACTGTAATAACAATGTCTAAAGTTTTAGAATAGAATGGATTGTTACTGAATGTGGTACATTGTGTTTATTTTTTAAAAAGGTACTTTCTAAAACGTTTTTTAGAAGGAAAAATTCAGGCATCAGGCCAGTGATACTGTTCTGTATGATGCTATTTAAGAATGGGCTTAAGGAGTGAGCTTCAGGCAGAGGACAGCGACAGCC